GGTCCTGACATTAGTCTGATACACAATAATATTCTCTGCAGGAAAAGCCAGGGTCCCACCTGCCATCCCAGAGAGGAAAGACACACAGCCATTGCTCTAGGGAGTTACCAGAAATTACCAAGGTTCAACAGACACAGCAAGGGACAGCACTCCAATGGCAGGTGAAGGTCAGATGCCCTGTCCTCATGCAGCAAATGGGTAAAAACCTCAGCAACCCCGAGTTTGTGCCTACATGCAGCTGAGACAACCTCTGAAGTCACACCTTGTTTCTGCAAGATTCTTCAAGAAAGGAATTGCTTTGGAAAAATAAAAACAACTCTCCACCTGAAAGCAGTATCCTTCCATCTTTCAATGTCCACTTTCAATAATAAAACTTTCAATTTAAAGTCTTGAAAGCAGCCCTGGAAACGATCCATCCTTTTAGAAAATCTGGATCTTCAAACCTGCTCCGTCGAACAGTCTATGTGTGGCAAGAAATTATTTTCTTGGGGCCTTTAAGACGTTTGTCCCTTTTCTTTTCCTCTTTCCCTCTTCTAGTTGAAATGCACATGCTGGCTCCAAAAAGAAAAAGTCTCGGATTTTATAACCTAAAAATATCAGAAGCTAAAGGAAGCTTCATTTTAAAAGTTAAAGCCCAGGGGCTGGGGATTTAGCTCAGCGGCATAAGTGCCCGCCTTGCAAGCAGGCAGTCGTGAGTTTGATCCCCGGTACCGATAAAAAGGAAAAAGACAAAAAAAAAAAAAAAAAAGTTAAAACCCTGAACTTCCCAAAGGAACATTTGTCTGCTCTCTCTACTTCCCTGCCGGTCTTCATACTGAAGGTTGCGAAGGTAAAGTTCCTCTGTGTCTGATCCCTAGCATAGCTCACGGTATCTGGTAGCACTTTTACCAAACACTGAGTCTAAAGCATGGAACAAATTCTCTGCTCCCTCCTGAACGCCCAGTTCTACATGGAGATGAGAGAACTAAAAACAATCTGGCGTCTCTTGGCCAAATTGTCTACCCAAAGACACTGCAGACTGACAAATATCTTCCTCATTAAGTGAACGCAGATGCAGTGACCCAGGGAAGTGGCCTAGATGTGCTGTACATGACTCTCCACTAGACACCCAATCTTCACACAAATGTTTCACTGATCTTGTGAGCCTCATGAGAGCAAAGAACAGATCTGATGGAAAAAGTATTTCATTCTCCATCCTTTGGAGACTCTTAATGCTTTCCTTATCCTTAGATAAGGAAATTACTCACTAAAATTACTCCAAAGAGTGTTGTAATATCCCAAAAATAAAGTTAATTTTGATTATTTTTAATTGATTAAGTATACCTGTAGTAAAAAAAATTTTTTTTTAATTAGCATACATGCCATTCTGGGGAAAAGTGAACTGGCAATAATGAAACCTTGATGCACAAGGATAAACATTTTGGTTTTGAACCTGAAATCTCATTTACCAGACATGTACATACATATATCTCAGGCATCTGAAGCAAAACAAAGAAATTAGTAGTTTTAAGGATTTTTTTATGGTTCTAAAAATAATAGGAAATCTCAAAGAAAGAGCCAACATTTCCATTTATGTTGTTGATTTCTGCCTCAGGAGAAGTAATCCAGGGACCCTATGTGTAGAGAAGAGCCTGTGAGGTCTCTGGGACTGAGGGGCTGGTTTTCTTCTTAAGTCAGTCTCAGACACCCACGAGGAAGTCCCTGTCGGGCCACCCCCTTGGAGAGAAGGGAGTTTGCTTTGGATTTTGGAAGTGAACTTTTTATTCTGGGGTTGTTTCAGAGCAATAAAATGAGAAGATGGTTTATAATAACTGTGTCTAACCCAGGGAGAAAATTGGTTCCATTTTCACTCTCATCTTAAGCAGCTTTTAAAATTAAATTCACTTTGGGTTTTCCATTTCCAATTCTGCCAGCAATGCCACAGGCACCGAATAGAAACATAACCTGTATCTCAGACACAATATCCTAAAGCAGTGGAAAATAATTTCTTTAAGAAGGCTATGAGGTTTCATGTTTTTGTCAAGATTACGAACAATGATAATCAGATGTTCCACAGTCCCTGGCCTTTGCACACACTGTGCCCTCTGCTTGGAAAGTTTCCCACCTCTCTCTATCTGGCCAATTCCACCCACCCCTGGGGAACAGATGAAATTTCCTCTACCGCTTTCGTAACCTGCCTGTGTCTTTGCCTCTTTGACTCCACCCAACTCACTGTATTTGTTCAGGGATAAACTCAAAGGTGAGTAGACATCTTGCTCAGTGTGTCCTAAGTTTTGATAAGTGTCCCCTAAAGGTTCACATGCTAGAGACTTGGTTGCCAGCAGGGGCACTTTGGGGAGGTGGCAGAACTTGTATGAGATGTGACCCAGGGGGAGATCTAAAGGTCATTAGGAGCATGACCCTAAAGGGGCTTGTGGGACCACAACCCTTTCTTCTGTTTCATTGGCTCCCTGGCTTGTGATATGAGCAGTTTTATTCTGCCACATGGTCCCACCATGATGGGCTGCATCACCACAAGTCCAAAGCAAAGGGGCCAATCCACCACAATAACCTAAAACAAATCACTTAACCCATTTATATCAGGTATTTTGTTGTAGTGATGAAAAGCTAATTAATAAAGGCTACTGTAACAAAACACCAAAGAATGCATAGCTCAAACAACAGACATTTATTTTTTTTACAGTTCTGGAGGATGGAAGTCCAAAGTTAGGGTGCTAGCATGGTTGTGTTCCAGTAAAAACCCTCTTCACAGTATACAGAGGATCACTTTCTTGCTGCACCCTCACTGAGCACAGGGAGAGTACAAATGTGACAGTAATCCCATCATGGGCTCCTCCCCTATGACCTCATCTAAATCTAATTATCACCTAGAGGCCCTATCTCCAAATGCCATCACATTGGGCATTAGGGCACAGCATGGGAACACATTCAGTCCATAGTAGCAGTTGAGTATGTTATAGTACCAAAATTTCTGTCTGAATGATTTAGTTTTCTGGCCAATAAGTGAGGTCTTTCTTCCTGACTCAAAGCTTGGCAATCCAACTGGCTTTGCCCAAGGAGAGATTAAGAAATACGGCACAGATGCACCTGAAAAAGTCTTGTGCACTCAAGTTTGCTCTTAATCTAAGGGACTTTTCCACCATCATGTGAATGGATTTCTACATACTGTGTGCTTTTCTTCTGTGTCTCCTTCCCAAGGAACTCCAGAGCTGAGCCACCATGATCTATCCTGAAAGACCTGTGTTAGCATGGCACATTCTCATTTATGAAAGGCTTCTGCTTCATTACATTCTTTCACCAGGACTAAGAACATGGCCTCATTTGAGCTTTGAAGAGCACTTGCAGCTACATATCACCTTCTTGGGGGGAAAAATGCAATTAAGTGGAAGTTAGCACAGAAACGTGCAACTACCTCGGGTGTAACCCAGCCATGCAGGGGCAGCAGGGGTGAACAGAGCACCTGAAGTGTCCAGAAATCCTGGTCTGGCATCTGTCCATCCCTCCCTTCTGATGTTTCCTGCCATTCCTTCTAGGTGTATTCATTGCTTCAGCTTAATAGTTAGAGACAAAAAGGGTGGCAACAAGCCAAGTGGATTGGAAAGAGCCCTCACTGAGGCACAGGAAACTTCACTTTAGTCATGGCCAAAAACTGAGAAACGAAGACCATGAATTCTTGCCTCAGGTCAAGGGACTTAGCAGAAAGAGCAAGAACAAAGTCCAACCTCTTCACAGCTTCTCAACTTCATGTGCCATCTCTCCAGACAGAGAACTGACTGACTGACTTCCGTGTCACAGCGAGCTGTAAAACCCCACCCTGGGGATAACACTGTGGCACTTGTCAGGAGACACAGCCTTGGTGTCCTCATTGCGTGTCACACACAGTGACACCAGCAAGCAGCCGGAGAAAGATCGGTCTTCCTTCAGCTCCCCCTCTGGAAGCCAGACCGCAGACTCCAAGCCCGTCCGCTTGTTCTCACTTTTTGCAGCTCAGAGCAACCCTGCAGCTCCTTCCTCCCACTGGAATTCTAGGTTCCGAGGAGACACCTGCTTCACCTGACATGGTCCAGAAGAGGCCCCTGTCCCCAGGCTGAGCCTCATCACTATGATAACACCGTGGTTTTCATCCCCATAAGAGCAGAACCTCAGAGCAAACTGTTACCTGCTCACCAACCTGGAAACTTCTCTTTCCCTTCGGTCAACAATGTCTCTTGTCTTCTATGTCACCATGGTCACATAACACCCTTGGAGAATCTCTTGAGATCTCAGGCTCCCATGCTCCTTTTTACTTATTTATGCACAGATTCTCCTTTCAAAGCTTTTCATTTAACACAAACAGTTCCCCAACTTTTCCAAAAATGGTCCTTTCCCACCAGGAAGAGAAAGAATAAAGGGATTTGCAAAAAGCAAAATGACAGGCTGTGACCAGTGCCAAAGAGAAAGTGAAAAGGCAAGGATGGCACACGGGGACGAGGGCCTCTGCAGGGGCACCCCTGGTTTTCAGTGGGAAGGTGGAAATGGGTGGGTCTTACGAATGCACTCCAGGAAAAGGAAGTGGCAGGTGCATGGCCTGAGGAAGGAAAGAGGAGAGGGAGGCCAGTGCATCTAAAGAATCATGGCAGAAGATGTGGTGAGGTGCAGAGAAGCAGGAGGTGGGCAGAGGCAAGATGAGTCCCACGCAGATGGTACAGAAGCCTGAGGAAGCATCTTAAGAAGGGATCTGAGTGGGTCCTGTAGCCAGAATGTGAGGTCTGGGAGCCAAGACTTGGCTTTCCTCTCTTCCCAGTACCTGAATGAATCTAAGTAAAGGCCATTCTGAGAGTTTATGCAAAGACTGTGACAGTGAGGCAGAAGACAGAAGGAAAGCCAAGCTCCAAAGAACCACTGATGATCTGTTCCAGAGCCTACATATAGTGTCATCAAACACAGAAGAATTATGTCACGAGGAAGGAGCAGTGGAGACAGCAGGAGGAACACTGACTTTTATAAGCTCAACAACTCACATGGACCAGACATCGATTTTGGGACCGTATTTCTTCCTGGCGAGCAGTTCGGGCGCGGCGTAGGCGGGGCTGCCACACTGCGTGCTGAACGGGTCCGAGTAACCCAGGATCCCTGCACAGTTGCTCAAGCCAAAGTCTGCGAAGAGAAGAAAAGAATTGGACTCCAACTTAGAAAACTGCAGACATGAAGAGACAGGAAAGGGGATGGGGTGCAGGAGGAAAGGAAACATTCTCTCAGGCTAACACATAATTTAGCATCCACAAGGAAATCCAGCAGCTGCAAACCATAACCACTGGATACGAGTCTCCAAGAGGAAAGAATGTCAGGTGGTGGATCCCTGGCTTAACTGGAACCTTTTACATGAGTCCTCACTGTAAAATCCAGCTAGTGCTAACAGCATGTAGAGCCAAAACATATTTCCATCAAATCTTGTAAATGAGTCGTCCAGGGAAAGCAGTGGCTGTGCTTTCGAGGACTGGGGCAAAAAGTGAGAGCAAGCAGACGGGCTTGGAGTCCACGGTCTGGCTTCCAGAGGGGGTAAGCTGAAGAAGACCAATCTTCCTCCGGCTACTTGCTGGTGTCACTGTGTGTGACACGCAATCCAGCCCATTTACAGCTGACTTCTTCTGCTGAGTGTTTGTGTTTCACAAAAATCTTAAAAAAAAAAAAAAAAAATCCTCCCAAATGTATGGAGCAGATATGGAAACTTGAAGGGGAGGGAAAAATATACTCAACCGTTTAGGCAATCCTGCAAGTTGGCTGGAAAGGAACGCCGGGAGGCTGGCGGTGCCAGCCAGACTCAGTGACCTCACTGCGTGGCTTTGTTCCTGGAAGATGAAGGCACTGGGAAGAAAAGCTCAGGGATCTACAGCTAGGCTGGATCTATTATGCCTTTCCCACTGTGTTTACTTTTGATCTTAAAGATACTGCAGCTGCTGGGCAATTAGAGAGCTGCTAGTGTTATGCCCTCCCTCTATCTTCCCTCCATCTTTGTTAATCTCAGAATTAAAATCACAGTTCATCCTTTGAACTTCAGTGTAAATATTATTATTCTACCCCCCAGACAGAAGACTCTCAGGCCACAGGGCTCGGGGAGACCAAAACCCTGGTACTTTCTCAGCAGGCACTACTCATGTCTAGTTTCATTACTCTCCCACTTCACACTAACGTGTCTGAGCCTGCAAAACTGCAGGTCTCAGTATGGGGAGAGCCAGAGTCACCTGACAGCTCACCGTGACACAACTGAGACGTTTCCCGACAGCCCTGTATTAGGCGATGCAATGAAATAGTTTTTCTAAAGAGAACCCTGCCCAAAGAGAGGTCTAAAATCTCTCTAAATTCTGAAGACCACCCAAACTCTTCAGTTTAGACTCTGGATAAAGAATCAGAGAGTACAACAGAGACTGGTAAACCAACCAACCAACCAACCAACCAGCCAACCAGGAAAGCTGCATGTCTGAACACTTACTTTTGTTTTGTTTTGTTTGGTTTTTTGACAATTCTCTTTCCCTCTTATCCTGCCTCCTCCTGTCTTCCTTTACTCTGTTCCTCTCTTCATTCCCACCCTCAGTCTCTCCCCATTTCCTTTCCTTTCTCAGCAGACTCCATATACCCTGTAGGGAAATCCTTTGGGAGTCCAGGCCCCCATCACAGGAGTAGTTACTTGTTATAAAGGACCCAAGGGCTGTATCCTCAAACCCCAGTGTCTTAGATGCAGGATCACGTTTAACATTGAAGGACTGTTTCATAGCTAAGAGCACCTACTATGGAAAACTAAAAAGACACCATCACAAAACAAAGATGAAAATATAGTTTTAGTGAGAGTGACATTTTTAACGTTTCATGAACTGCCATGTTAGAGGCCTAGTTTTATAGGAGCCCCAAAAAATCTACATCCACATTTCTAAGATAAAAGCCAAAGATTCTGTTCTGCCAGTCAGCAGGATTTTAGAACAGCAAAAGGGCATCTCCTTCGATTCCCTTTTTCCAATCCCCTGATCTGAAGAAAGGCAGGGAAAGGAGAAATAAGAGACCACATCACTCTCCAATGTCCCTGGCAAGTTAGAGAACAGTGTCTGGTTTTATCTTAAACTCAATTTCAAGAAGATAAATTAACTGTAGATTTGGGGAAAGGTGGGAATAGAATCTGCATTTTAAATGACTTATGTAGACCTAGCAAAAAGGACTTTATTTAAAATACATGGTGAAGATATAACCAGTATGTTTCACATTTGTAACTGCAATTATTAAAATTTTACACATACGCCTATAATTAGAATTGTGAAACTCGAGAGAAGTTTGCCTCCCAATAATGTCACATAGGTCTGCCTCAATTAGATTTGGTAAATACATAAGCTAATTATCACTCAGTTTTTCTGAGAGCTGCAAAATAAATCTCAAAAAACACCCAAGTGCATGCTGCTCTGGAACACGTACAAAATTGTCCTAAGCTGTGGCTCCTCCATTTAAAGATTATACTAAACTTACCAAACATCAGATTGCTTTTTTTTGAAGAGGGAAAAACATCCTGATTAAATCAAACCTTACTCCTGGTAATTCTAGTGAATTTGAAATACGGCTTAAGTAGATTTACTTAAACCAAATTCTTTCAGAGAAAGAGAAACTATTAAGAGGAAATGATAATAGCTATAATCACCTTGGAAAAACAACTAGGTAATTCCTTTGAAGAAAAAGAGGTTCAAAGGCCTTTCAAGGTACAAAAAAAGACTGGGAATGCACACCTTTGATCCATATTACCCAACCCAACAAAACAAAACACACAAGCCACTTAGTCTGCTTGCATAGAAATTGAAGAAATACAGATTTTGCTGTACAAAACACAATTCCCAGTTGCCTCCTACGGTGGCCTACTATCTCTTTCGTTTATTAGTGTAAGTTAGGATTCCTGAGGTTTAGCTGGTTATGAGAAAAACAGGAGCTAATAAAAGTTATAAATGGTGGGAAATCCCATCACTAGAGCCTCTGTTCTTATAACTTTGAGAATATTGCCTTCTAACATCTAGTCATTTGCCAATACTCTAGGTCTATTTTGTCCTGTTGAATTAAGTTTGGCCTAAAGCTGCCTCTGTACATATTTTAAGTTTGGCCTAAACACTCACCATACATGGTGGTTGTAACCTAACTTGATGTGTAAACGCGGTGTAACCTACTATTATAACAAAGACCTGAGTCTCAGCCAGTCACAAGTAGTCAACTGTTCAAATCTTTTTCATAGAAGATGGTTCTGAGCTGGAACCAATTAGGCTCCCTACGACTCATTTCTGTTTTCTATATGTCACATTCTTTTCTCTACAATCTACTCTATGGTGGTCAAGGTATCTAAACCATTTTTGTTCAGGATTACTGTCCACTTCTGGGATCTCAAAGCCAAATAAGGTTTGCAAAATTATATCTGTTGTAATTTCATCTTTTATAGTCCTGATGATGGGTAATACCTACTTAAAAGCCTACTCAGAGGTTGCCAGCTGAGAGATGATAACTTTGAGGGATTTGAAAAATGAAGATCCTGATCTCCAAAAAGCAACCATCAAACTCCCCACAAAGTGCACTACAGGCTCTACTTTAGGTATACAATTTCTTCATATTACTTGTATCACATCTCCTCTAAAAGGTTCGATTACTCAACCGATCTGTGAGCTACTTAGAAATGTACCTGCTGTTGATAGTGACTGGTTCTTCTAGAATCTTTGCAGCAAACTTCTAATCATTAATAAAGTTTGTGCTTTTCAACATTAGTTACTCCACAGGACAGTTTAATAATGGTCACACAGAGCTAGTTACTTGAGGAGGAAGAAGAGAGAGCAAACACCGAGGCAGACAATGCCCAAGCGAAGGAAATAGTAGGTAATCCAGAAACTACCCTGGACGCACTGCCCTCTGCTTGGCCTACAAGCTTTGTCTACGTGACACCCAGTGGAAGTGAATTACCATAGTGTAAATCTGCCCTTTATCAAGCCTGTTTTCATATGATCTGTACTATGAGGACAACTCTATCACTGTCACTGGCCCATTTTCCAAAGACAAACTACAGTTCACCCTGCCAGGAAATTAAAAAAAAAAAAATCTCGTTTCCTCCATTCCTCATTCCCCATCAGGAGACTCCCAAGTTTCAGGCAGTTCAGTAGCACCTTCCTTCACAGGTTCCTGTACCTGGTGTTCCAGATAACTATAATGTAACAGCCAAACAATGTGATCAAAAAAGGTCCTTGGGATGGTGCTAAGAATTTATGATGAACAGATTCTTCAAAATGCTTTTGGTGAAAAAAATTAGTTTTTCTTAAATGTTAATCTTCTAATGATGGGTATATATATCCATCACCATTTGTCAGTGCTGCTTGGTCCTCTAGCACAAGGATCCTACGCCTTCATGCTCGTGCCTGGCCTGTGCAGGACGCCAGCTATAATTCCAAGGTACCTAGTAAGCCATCTAAACAGTATGTTTTGGAGAATCTTGAGATGACTTGCCACAGTGGCTTAGCAAAAGCTTCTTCTTGGGCCTAAGAGTTAAGTTCCCAAAGTCCTATTGGTCCTTCTCTTCTCCACTAAAATAAGGTCTTTCCAAGCCATTGGGTAGATGAAATCACTCAAAATTGGTGTGAGAAAATAAACAAAAGGGAAGAATAAAAGATTGTGCTGTTTAATATCAGGGCATAAAAATAATGACCAAAAGCAACCATACAGGCAAAACAAAACATACAGAAACATCTGAATTCTTGCAGAGAATGAGCCCTGAAGTGAGTTCACTTACTAGTTCTGAACTATGAACCAATGATGAATTACCCACCCTGGAGCCTCCTTCCAACTGGCACAGATTCTAATGACCCCTCTGTGGACAGCCACCATGACACCATGGGAGGAGGATGAAGACCGTATTGAAAAGAGAAGCCAAGTCTTACCCTTCCTTTCTTTGGACATCTATAAATTCACTTAAAAGTGGAATAAAACACACAGAATCTATGGGGAGCACTTCTGAGCCAAACTATTTTCCGCTTTTTAAAAAGCAACCATTCTATTACTCCAACTAAAAATCACCTCTGTGTGAACTTAAATAATAAAAAGAAACGTTGCCAAGAAATGCTTATTGATTGATTTCCCAATCAAGTTAGTGTTTTCACCTTCCTAATTATGTTTAAATTATTAATTAAGTAAATTATAAAATTAACTTTCATTTTGAAAACTATTATTGAACATTAGACACAAACAAAGGTAACCTATTAGTTTGATTTGATACAGACCAGGTAATTTTCAAAGTTGAGAACTGACAACACAACATTTAAAGATAATCTTGCTTAAAAGTAAAAGAAAGTCATACCAATCAGCTTGATATTATTGTCTTCATCTAGTAGCAAATTTTCTATCTTCAAGTCTCTGAAATAAACAAAACCATACAACATTTCAGATAAGCATTTGAAATAGCAGCAGGAAGCCTTGCTTCTGAAGGAAAATGAATTGTTTTAGTGTCACTTTCCACCAACCCATAAAGCTTTTTTTTGCTAAAACTCATTCGATCATGAAGTAAATATTTATAAGACATGATGTAATTGATTATCACCAACTATAAAAGGTAACAAAGGGTTTTGGAAAAGGCAGAGAGCAAAGAATGCAAAAGAAATCACTCAGAGTTCCCAGCAATGGGACCCAAACTGGAACCTGGAGATTAAAGAGCAGAGGGTTAGAAGAAGGCAGAATACACCCCTCAAGACACAGGCTGCCTCAGCAGGCGAAGAAACAAGTGTGGCCAAGGGTTTGTCACACTGTGAGCAACATTCACCCATCAGGAGCAGATCTGGGGACGCAATTCCAAACACTGGAATTTAATTTATCACTTCTATGACCCCCACACTGGAGCCCAAATGTCGGCTGGTGATGATGTATTAATTTACTGAGCAAGTAGATATTATCATGGGCATAATAATAGATTCCAGAGAGGTCAGCATCATAATCTTTGGGGTCACATTCAAGTATATGTTAATCTGACATGGTCAAAGGGAACGGAGTTTACTGATCAAATTAAGATTGCTAATCAGATGGTGGGTGATGACACCGAATGACAGTGAAGTGACAGAAGGCAATGGAAGGGAGCAAAGCAGTCAGAGTCACAGTGGGTGGGAGGTGGCGGAGGTAGCTGTTAGTCAACTATAAGCTCCCTGAGGGTAGAGAACACATCTGTCCTGCCTACCACTGCACCCCACAAGCTGGATACTCAGTAAACAAAAACAAACTAGATTGCCAAAGAGATCATTTTGAATGTCACAAGCAAAGTATATATCCAGGCCAAAGTGTGGGGGGGGGGGTAAAAGAATATACTGGTTCATCAAAGTCATCTATATATATATACACATTTTTAAAAACTTTCGTATTATTTTGAAACATTCCTTTCTTGGCCCAGCTTTTATTTTCCTATATTTTAATAAAGAGATGAGCAAAAAATACACTCTTCTTCTTCTGCTTGTCTCCATTGTAAAGAACTGAAGGGCATAACAGTGATGAAACCAACAAGCACAGCATTGACATTTATTATATCAATGTCCAGAAACAACAGCACACTACCATTGCCAGGACTATCTGTGGTAAATAGGACAGCAGTGTCCCATTTAACAAGGCCAGTTGCTTCGAAGCTTGGTCCTAGTACTGCCAGCCCATTCTGTTTCACAAGAGAAGCTAGAAATCTGGATGTGGTCTCAGTTTTCAAAAGCTGGCAGCAAACTCACATTTAAAACAATTAACAACACTATGTGAGCCAACCTCCTAAGCAAGATGTGGCCAGCCACGTACCAGTCTTCAAGCCCAGAATAGGTAGAAAATGAGGCTGTGAGAGAACATAAGATTACTCAGGAGAGGGCACAGAATGAGTGAAGAAAGACCAAGGACAACACGCAGCTGGGAAGGACCATTCACAGAGGACTGCAAAGGAACGAATGTGGGCAGGGAAACCAGCGAGGCTGTTCTTGCGGGAACAACTCAGGGTGAGATCTCCAGGCAGGAAGAAGGATTAAGGGGTCCAGTGGCGACCTCTACAGAGTACCCAATGGATTCCAAGAGGGAGGACTGCCGGTAGGCTTTGGGCTAGACACCTGGATGAAAAAGATCTGTATTAAATAAAACATGCAGTTAGGAACAGGACATAGATATTCCCCATCTAAGGCTCTCATAATCAGTGCAAATGAAACAAGACACAGTACACTCCAAAACTATGTCTGCTTCTAAAATTCATCACATATGTGCAATATAAAGTGATCCCAAGGATAAGGTGGGGTCTACCTCCTTCACCAAGAGGAGGAAGACCTCATCCCTTAGCAAAGAGATTTTGGAAATACACTTTTTTGTGTTTTTTTTTTTTTTTTTTTTTTAGTTTTTTTGAGATAGGGTCTCACTACACAGTTCAAGATAGCCTTGAGCTCACTTTGTAGACCAGGTTGGTCTTGAACTTGCAACAATCCTCCTACCTCAGGCTCCTGAGTGCTGGGATTACAGATGTGTGCCACCATGGCCTGTTTTAGAAATTTGTAATATTTAGAAATGCAATGGGACCATCAGGTGAATGTTGCTTATCTGTGAAGCTTCATCATCATCATATTTAAGGCCACATACTAAAATGTTAGAAAAATTCATTTTAGAAATGTTGTTTCCGTGTCCTCGTACTTCATAAAAAATTATTCAAATGCGTTAAGGCAGAACTAAGATGGTTCTCTGAGTACAATTTGTCCAGCAGGATGTGATGGGTCCACTGGGCTATGGTGTTTCTGATGAACACTCTTTGAATCTTTGTATCATATACACTTACTAGAAATCTTAACCCAAACCATAAGCACCCATTTCGTGTTGCTGTGAATTAACTCTTAGTGAATTGCTTTCAGTCTCTCAAATTGTTGCAACTGTAAGGCCATAGTTCTAGATGTTGTGACTAAAGCCACATAAAATGGCTTGGCTTCCTGTCTACCAGAAAGCAGTCTAGACATTTGGGGTGACTTTTAGAGTGCCCAAAGTGATTGGCAAGTCAAGTCAAAGTTAATGAGCGTGCTGGTTAATACTGATTGTCAACTTCATTGGATTAAGAGATTCCTGGAGTGGTGATTGGATTATGAAGTCATCAAGTTTCTCACGGATTAACCATTCCTAGCTGATTGGGCTACTAGGAGCAAGGGCTTGGGTGGAGGCAGTAAGTCATGGGGTTTGACACTGGGCAGCTGACTGAGTCCCTGGACGCTTCTTGAGCTTCTTCTCTGCTGTCTGCTTCTCGGACACCATCCACTGAGCCACTTTCCCCACCACACCCTTTCACCATATTTCTGCCTTGGAACCAACCAAACGTTGGTTGAAACCACAAGCCAAAAATAAATCCTTACTTATTGAAATTGTGTACATCAGACATTCTGCCCCAGGAACAAAAAGCTGATCAACATGATGTGAATGTGTCTTCTCCAACTAGTATCTTATTGAAAATAAAGCAACTGTAATTGTGCCTCTATAATATGAAAGATTTGTGAGGACTCTTTCAAGCGTTCTTCTTTGCTGAAGATAATTAAGACATCACATAAACCTGACTTCTATTCAAATATGTAGCATAACTTAAAAATACACACACACACACACACACACACACACACACACACACACACACACACTGCCAACAGCCCAAACTGTGATTCTGTGAAAACTGATTATTATAGTGGTAGCACTATTTAAATCTAACACGAGGCCACAGTTTGTTTCAAGTGAAATTAAGTGTCTTTGCCTGGGTAGAATGGAAGTCACACTAAGTCATTAAAGAGAAATTTGGTTCAGAACAAATATTATTGAGATAAACAGATTAAAGAGGCATGGTAAAATAAAGCAACTGCCAAGAATAATAAAACAGAAGTGTGTGATTCTGGGCCACAAAAGTCTAACAAACAACTAAAATGATTAGGGAAACGATATAAATGAAAGAGTAAACCTAAGACACAATGCAACAGAAAAAAAAAAAACTTTTAAAATGAGAGAAATGTCAGGAAACCAAGGGAGGAAGTGTAAAAATATAATTATTAGGAAAAATGAGAAACAAATTCAAAGGTGCTACCTTCCCACCCACTGCATCCCAAAGCAAGCAACTCCCAACACTTACAAAAAATGAATAGAACACATTTAGTTAACAGAGGGTATGTGCCCATATGTTAGCCTTTCTGCCCAGGTCTGTGACAGATTTCAGTGACAACAATCTAACAGTCTTAAAGCTCCATGACTAGTTAACAGAAACGTGTGCTACGTTAGTCTCTGTCCCTGTGATCCGTATATTGTACACCGTCAAATATTTCTGAAAGAAGGAGAGGATGGCTCTCCACCTTACTCTTTAGGGAAAAAGACTCTAAGATCTAATTTTGTTTTGGTTTAAGTTTTTTAAGACACTCTTATTATGTGACTCATCCCTCAAACTCATGGCAATCTTGTCTTAGCCCCCCGAGTGCTGACATTACAGGTCGGTGTCACTACCTGGCTTAAAGTTTAATTTTTAAAGTCACTTTCATCTAAGTACAAGCAGCTGTCTCTATCCATGGGTTCTGCGTCCTCAAATTAAACCAACTTCAGATCAAAAATATTCATGAGGAAAATTTTCATCCGTGCTAAACCTCTTTCTCTGTCATTAAACAGTACCACATAACAAGTGTTTAATAGCATTTGCACAGGATTAGGTATGATGATAAGAGATCGAGGGAGCATTTAAAGTTCCTGGAAGCATTGGGATAGGTTCTTTGTGCCATTTGATGATATAAGGGACACCCTTGGGTCCTGGCAGGTTCTGAGGGAAGATGGTATTTACTTGAATGAGTGGAAAACTTGTGGGCAGAAATGGTTATAGCAGCTCTACTGATACTTTCTCCTAACTGGAGCACTGAACGAGTCCCTAAGTAGATGAAAGGAGGAGTGAAACTGTGTTACACTAGAAGGTTCGGCAGTGAGAAGAAAGGAGGTGTGAAATCATGGAAAAACCTCAAATACTTGTTTCTAAGTAAAAGAAGCTAATCTGAAAATGCTGTATGCTGTATGATATTTGAAAGGGCAAACTCTGGAGGTAATAAAAAGATCAGTGACCACCAGAGGCTGAGAGTGGGAGGAAATGGGAGGAAGAGGGGTGTAGAGGATTTCACATTTTTTATGCTAGTGACCTGGTGGCTCTGTGACATCATATATGTGTCCAAACACATAAAAATGGACCTCACAGAATGAACCTTAATGCAAACTACTTGCCTTGGTGAAGATTCATACATCCATACCGGTTCATCAACTGAAACAAGTAACATTAACCGAAGCGAATGCAGGGCAGAAAGCAAGTAGGAGGAATTCTCCATAGTTTCTGTGTAATTTCTCTATAAACCTAAACCTACTCTAAA